AGCCCTGGGCGGGCATGGGGGCCATGTGCCCCTGGATCTGTTCATGGGGTGGGGGTGGTTGCTGCTGTGGGCTGGAGCTGGGGTGGCACTGAGCTCTTCCTGGTGGGGACTGAGCCAGGCTATGCTTGGGGTGGGAGGCAGCAGCGCTGGGAGGGGGGCCATGGGGGGGCTGCAGCCACCACAAAATTTGCTGTCACCACCCATCCCAAGCGCAGCCCCAGCCCAACTCTCCAGCCCGGAAGAGCCTGGCGCCATGCCTGGCTCCAGCCCGCAGCGACAGCCCGCCCTTGCCCTGTGTGTAGTTCTGGGGCATGTAGATTCATAGATTCTGAAGTCGGAAGGGACCTCAGTGGGCCATCTAGTCTGACCCCCCTGCCCCTGGCAGGCAAGAAAAGGGTCACCAAACCTGGGATCATGTAATCCCAGCCAGGTGCCTGACCAGCCTCCTCTTGAAGACCCCCAAGGATGGGGTGAGCACCACCTCCCTTGGAAGCCCATTCCAGATCCTGGCAACCCTGACTGTGAAGAATTTTTTTTCTAATGTCCAGTCTAAACCTACTCTCCAATAGCTTATGGCCATTATTCCTTGTTATTCCAGGGGGTGCCCTAGTAAACAGATCATTTCCTACTTTGTGTTGCTCCCCCCTTATGAATTTGTACGCCGCCACAAGGTCCCCTCTCAACCTCTCAACATGCCCCCCATGACCTCCCAGGGTGTGTGCAGTGCCTTCGTCTTGTGCCTCGCCCTGGCTGTGCAGTGCCTGTCCCTGTCCCAGCCCCATTCCCTACCTTACCGCTGGCACCTCAATCTGCCCCCCTTCATGCCCCTTCCCTCGCAACAGATTTACCAGCCGAAACTGGCTGCTCTCCATGCTGCTGGGCTGCGCTCCTGGCTCCTGTGTTCTGCGCTGCAGCTGCACACAGCATTTATCGATGACAGTATCAGCAATCAGCGTTTTTTGAATGATGTGGCTAATACTGTCAATTTTCCTGATGTATTGGTACACCTCTAGTCATTAATTGTACTGTTCAACCCATTCACAGTATCAGTCTCCTGGATTGTTTTCAATAGTCACCAGGAGATCAATGCCGATTCTGGGAGACTCCTGGCCCATCTGGGAGGGTTGGTAACCGTACCCATTCAATACTTTCAAAGTCAGTTGTGTGAACCATGGGACCACTTTTCTGAGCTGGCTGAATTAGAAATCAAATCATATCCATCTTTCCTTTCCTGGGTGTTATTTCAGGCTTGTCTTAGAATTCACTATGGAGATATCCTGCCTGAGCAAAGTAGTACCCACAGTGGAACTGCATACTTCATACATGTTTACAGCTCATTTCAACACAACACCCAAACCAAGACAGGGGAGCTGTGGGCTTGTCTCATGCTGCCATAGCTATGTGCCTCAGCCTTGAGTAAGAGAAACTGGAGTTTCAGAGTGAACAAATAATCATGTGGTTCTTTTGCTCTTCATCCTCCAAGCTGGGACTGACAACATTTGTCCTCACACAATGTCAGTACCTTTTGGGATGTGGCCACTCAATTACTAGGAACAGAACTGAGACCACCAGATTATTTCTCAGTGATGACAAGGCCCTTTGGTTATGAAAACAAGAGTCTCATTTAAACCAATACATTAAGTTACAAAAAGGAAATGTTCACCATGAATGTTAAGACTGCTCTGGTCTCCAGGGTAAACAGTGCTCACCTGCAAACAAACACAGATAAATATATTCAGAATATTATCTCTACACATTAACATTAACAGAGTTTAGAGAGTGACCATGTTCCAACCTGTACAGGGCTTTTGTGTGCCACCACAGTATATATTATAGTAATACCATATGCAGTATTAGTTAGTTTACCAGTAAAGAAGTTTTTCACTACTGTGCATATTTCAACATGTAATATATTCTCAGTGGGATGTAAAAAACATGCATTCTTGCCAGTCAAGCCAAGCTTGCTCTCAGCTGCCCAAATGTGAATGCAGGGTAAGTTAGTTCAAGCCAAAAGAATGATTTTGGATTAACATCAGCATATTTGCAAACAGAATTTGCTTTTTGATTGTAAGATAACAGATTATGTTTTCAGTGCTTTTCATCCAAACTATCACTGGAAGTTTATCTACTACTCCACATGCATACATGTTTTATTTACTTCTACTTACGATTCTGGTGTTATTTTTTTTCCATAGCCTTGGACACTCCACTTAATTTACTGATTGCCTGTAAAATAGAGACTGAAAGACCTACCTCCTAAGGACTTTGTAAAGTTACAAAATGTTGGTGTGGTGCTCGGAGACAGGGAAACCATTAAAGACTGATAATAATTACAATTAGTATACATTGTATCATACTGTTATATAAGCTGCTATGTGAAAAGATCTAATCCTGAATTACTTGCTCTTAGCGGTCTTTATTTACCAAATCTGTTCCATTAACATCAGCATGGGCGATGGGTGCCTCCCGAGTCTGGGGGGGCACAGATCGCAGACAGGGGGGGAGGGGGTCCCCCAGCAGCCGATTGCCGACTGGGGGGGGAGGGTTCCCCTAGCAGCCAATCGCTGAACTAGCAGCAAAACTGGAAGCGCACTTCTGCCGGCACTTCCAGTTTCGCTGCTGGCACTTCCAGGGGGTGCACAGCCAATCTCAGGGGGTGCACGTGCACCCCCTACGCATTGCCAATGAACATCAGTAGTTCTATTCATATGAGGAATACAGGATTTGGTCCCTAGTTCTTTAGAAACTATGATTAAATGTACAATGCATATTTTATATCATATAGGGACAGCTTTACAAAGCTCTTCACAGATGTGGGACAAAGCTATCTAATGTAGTAAGATGCACGAAAAAGTTGAAATTTCTTTTGCCTTTACAGTCATTAGTGGATGACTATATTCTCAGAGTTATTCATTTTAACCTTTATGAAAAATGACCTATTTTTGTTATCTGAAGTGGATCTATCATTTTGATAGTTGTACAGAGATTCAGTGCCTTGGAACTCACAAAATGAAGCTAGCCAATCCACAAAGTAAATTTGGTTGATGTGTGTTTTGTACCACGACATTCAAACAGATTAGACCACTGAAAATAGAGAGATTTTTAAAGCAGTACAAGAAATAATCATAAAAATCGCAATACACATTCTTATTATTAGGTACCAAAGAAATGCTTTTTCCAAGGATAATTCGCATAATAATAAGGGACCTGGATCTCTTCAGCCTCCACAAGAGAAGGCTGAGAGGGGATCTAGGGGCCATCTACAAATTCATCAGGGGGGGACAGTAAGGAACAGGAGATGCTCTGTTTACCAGGGCACCCCTTAACAGAAACAATGGCCACAAACTGACAGACAGCAGATTTAGATTAGACATCAGGAAAAACTTCTTCATGGTAAGGGTCACCAGAATCTGGAATGAGCTTCCAAGGCAGGTGGTGCTCTCCCCTACCTTGGAGGTCTTTAAGAGGAGACTGGATAAGCACCTGGCTGGGGTCATCTGACCCCAGCTCTCTTTCCAGCCCAGGGCAGGAGGTCAGACTTGATCTACTAAGGTCCCTTCTGACCCTAAAAATCTATGGGCATGTGTAGACAAAATGAGGGGCATGTGTGTACAACACTTTAAAGTGGGTTAAATGCTTCAGCACCACTTTAATGGTGTTGGTATTTGCACACATCAGCAGTGTATTGCACATTAATTCCAACCACTGTAGCACATTCGGTGGCATAATGTGCCTTAAATGACTTTGGGGTGCAGCAAACTAAAACACCTCTGAGGAGTTTTAGTTTGCTGCCCTACAACCACAGAGCGAAGCACCAGGCTCCATGAGGCTCAGGGACTGTGAAGGCAGCCCATGCAGGCAGCCTGGCAGCAGCCTGGGAAGGCAGGCTTTGCCAAAGGAAGAAAAAAAAGTGGGAAACCTGATCTTTTTTTTTTCTCCCCTGGAGTCTGCCTGCCTGCACGAGCTGCACAGGGACCCAGTCCTTCCCTCTGTGGCTGCAGTGCCCCCCAGAACTGCCCAAACTGGGTGCCTGTGGCTGGGTGCTGCCTGGGGAGCAGCAGCCACTGCTGCAGAGGGAAGCACCAGTCTCCCCCTGCAGTCCAGGCACCGCTCTGCCAGCCAGCAGCTTGCCCTCCCCTCCCCACTGCTGAAGAGGCAGGTAAGACATGGGTGTACACAACACAGGGATTTACATTGCCCTAAATTGAAGCGGTGTTTTTAAAAACCCACTGTTTCAATTTAGGGCCCCCGTTTCATCTACATATGCCCTATGAACTCTATGAAATCTATGACAAGAAGTCTCAAGTGTTTTAAAAAAAACCTGAGCAACAGGACAATGCCAAAGAGTTTTAAGCCAAAAGGTTACAATACTATTTTTTCATCTGTTAAACATTGTGTAAGTGGTTCAATATTAAGTAAATAAGCATTTGCAAAATCACTATCTGTTATCTTGAAGGTCTGGCCCTGCTTGAAAGTGAATGTTTGACACATGACATTACTGAAGCATATAGCAAGGCACAAGTAGAGATGGAAGAGAGGAAAAGCCTGACAGAATGTTTTATGGCCATGCATTTAAGTATATCAATGCACCATGCAGTTTCTGCATGCGACTTACGGGCATTTTGCAGTGTGGTCTGGGAGAAACTGGGAAAACTGTCTATTCAAAATGGGGGTGGGGGAAGGAATGAATTCAGTAAATAAAGACAATACTAATACAGCAAAGAGGCATAATATTAGGTGCCCAAGTGAGACCACAGCACAGCAATCTTAATTTGTTTTCCAGCTCAGACATTGGGAACTCTCAGCTGATATGGTTCAACCAGTAGGTTCAACTTTTGTGGATGGAGTTAATCTCTTCAATCAGAGTAGGTTTCAACAGCTGAGTTCAAAGTTGCTGCCCTGTACACACAAGCTGAAAACATGCTGGCAGAACCAAGGTCCAGAGTCTACTCCATTTATTTGGCCAGCAGTGGACTTAGTCACAATCCCATTACACTCTGTTCATATCCCTGAAAAACAGTTAATACATAAATTGGGTGGATCCTCCTCCCAGTTACCACTTTTTGTGACCCACCCTTAAGGGTCAGATGATACATTCATGGATTTTCAAGGACTTGTGCCAGATGGAATAGAATCCTACTTAGGCACGTACTTCGATGCCCAATAGGTGGAACAGAATCTGGCTCCATGTTATCTAAAATAGTGATATGTTAGGATCCACCTCCCTAGGATGGCCATGGCACCCTCTAGTGGGCACTACAACCCTGTCCTGCCCAACTAATCTTTCAGAACACCCTCCTGGGCTCACCTGCCATGTCTTAATGTCTAAACAAGACATATGGGAGGCTGCCCTCAGAGACCCAAGTAAGCCTTGGGTGCTTTACTCTGACTTGGTCATCCCTGGGCAGCCATGTCCTGGCTCCAATCCTGCCTGAACAAGTTGTTACTCCTTTGTCCTTTCTTTCAGCTCTGGGGCCTCTGGCCCTGTCTCACTCTCCTTCTTGTCCCCAAGCCTGCCAGCTCTGTCTCAGTGTCATGAGTCCCAAACCCTCACGCTATGCCTTGAAGGCACCACTTATGCCCCACTAGGACCAATCATGGCCCAATTGGCCCTCATCTTGACTTTACAAGCCCTATTTGCTGTAGGGGTAGTAATTGTGCCTTCCAGCCTCCTCCATACTTTACAGATCTTCCTCAACAAAACTTCCCCATGACACCCAGCCCCATCTGTGCACCAGCCTGCGGGGCTCCCATTTGTCCACTCAGCTTCAGTCCACTCTATCCAACAGAGCCCTGGTTCTAGCAGTTCTCTCCCTATTTGATGGGTCCCTAGCCTTGTTTCAGCCTCTGCCTACATAGCTCACCATGTCCTTGAACCTTGCAATGCTCTTTTCTGGGCTCCAATACCTTCTATTCATTCACTGGACCCCAAGCCCTGTCTCAGCTTCTGCTCACACAGCCCACCAAGTACCAGACACTGGTAGGTCTCTTTCCATTCACTGGATCCCTTGACCTGTCTAAGCTTCTGTCCATGCAACTTACTGGGTCCCCAGCCCTTGCAGGATTTTTTCTGGGCTTCAGACCCTCCTTGGCCCCTGGCCCTGTCTTGACTTATGCCTGTGCAGTCCACCAGGTCCTAGACCCTTGCAGGACTCTCTCTCTCTTTCAGCTACAGCCCCTAACCCATTTAGCTTACATCCACTAGGGTGGAGTATCTCTTAGACACCCTGCCTGTGGATTCCCAACCATCTCAAATCTCCAGTCAAGACATAACCAACTCAAACTTTCTAGGACATATTCAGCAGCTCCTTCCACCTTCAATTAGGGCAAGTCTGAGCCTCTGGCCCTGGGTTAGGCCTCTATATCTCCTCCTCTTCCCTGTTCTGGTCACCTCCAGTATTCAGGGCCAAGTTCAGGAGCTTTCTCTTTTTCCCTAATTAGCAGGCTTATTGCTCTGGCCTGCCTGTTTGCCCCCAGCCGTTGGCTTCCTGTCTCTCTTGGTGAAAGACTCGCTGCTTTGCAGCTAGCCTCCCTCACTTTTAGTAGCAGGGGTAGCGGCCCCTGTTACAAGTGGTTTTCAACCTTTTTAGATGCAAAGCACTTCTTAGAAAATGCCACTTCTTAGCTTTCACTCATTTTTTGGTTACAGAAAAATACTAGAGCAATTCTTCTGTTACAAGGAACTCAGACAGACCACAATAGGTCAGAATGTTTTTGACACCATGGATTCCTGTTTGGGTTTATCTTAGGTATACAAGTATTTATGCATGATACACAACAGTGCTACTATTGAATGGCACCCTATGACACCCTTAAAAGGACATTGTGGCATCCTAGGGTGCTATGGCACCTGAATTGAAAGTCACTAGTCTAAAATAATTTTCAAGGTTTCAGCTTGCAAATCATTTCTGTAGCTTTGGTATAACCACACAGACTAATAGACCACAGTGATACTTACTCCTTTAATGTATGCTATACGTCCCGGTGGCCCAGGAGGTCCTGGAGGTCCAGGCAAGCCAGGAGGACCCTGAGAAGAGAAAGGGAAAAGATCATTAGATACAACCTTTTGAACAGCAGGGACAGCTGACAGAGAAAAAGAAGGGCAAAGTATTCAGAGGGTTCAATATAAACATGGAAATTTCTGCTAACTGGTCTAAAATTAGGCAAAACATTTGTTTGCATGAACAAGTTATACCTAAAAAAAGGAAATAAGGATTCCAAAAATTGACCATTAATATTTCATGGGCAGCTAAAACATTCACTTTCAGGAAAAAAAATAAAAATCCATTTTCCTCCCTGCTAGGTATAAGGAAAACCTTTATTCTTAACACCCCCTTCCCCCCACTCTTTTTTGGATTGATTATTCAAATTGCTGAGACTCATAATTACAAATGTTACTGTACAAATGGCATTTAAACCAGTGCATATTTTAATCCAGGATTTTTGTAAAAACCTCACAGCCTGAAGGAGTGAGATCCAGAACAATTAAGAAAGCAAACTATGCTGTAATATAATGTACAAATGGGCCAGACTCAACTGCATTGACTTCAGTGAGCTTATTCTGGATTTATGCCATGGTGACCTAGCAGAATGCAGTTAGGCATATAACACTTACAACTACATCCATGGGGTGTCCTGGACACTGGAATTGGTCCTCATAGACCATCACCCCTATCTATCTGATATTACTGCACTTGTCTTTTCTTTCCTGTAGGTTTAGGCATAAAGGGTAATGTAGACTGAGCTCGGTGGTGAAGTACAGAAGGTGACTGTAGGAGGAAGGGGAGCGGGCAGAGGTTAATAGTCTGTCCATTGCAAAGCCTGATTTATTTTCCACCAAACTGAGCAGCAGTTACTTTAGCTACATTGGCTTATTAAGAATAAAAAATTGCTAAGTTATTTAGAAGAGGTATATTTTAGTATTAAAATCATCTTGCCTAAAAAAAATGGCTGAATTCAGAAGTTGCTAAGTTTAGTATGACTTCCTCCTCTTTAAAGGCACATGCCATTAAATTTCACTCATTTATCACTGCACTGAGGCCAACTACTTGTGTTTGTGTTTAGCTAAAGCAAAAGCATATAATCCAGAAAGGCATCCAGTCTTGATTTAAAGATTTTCTGTAGTTACTTGTTCCAGTGACTGATTTTCCTTTCACACAGATACTTGTGCCTAATTTCAAATTTTAATTTATTTGGCTCCAGCCTCCAGCCATTTTCTGTAGTAATGTCTCTCTCTGCCTTTTAGTACCTGAAATTTTCTTCTTGCCAGGGTATTTCAAGTAATCTCCCAACCTTTTTTGATAAGTAAAGTAGTATCATCATCTGTATCTGTATTTGCTACAAAGGATTTCACTTTGTTTTCAATATTTTCAAGGCAATAGAAATAATTTAAATGTTGTCTACTGAAATACAGTAAACAGAGTAACAGAACTCACTGGGCGCCTCTACACATTCATTAATGTGCCATAATTACTGCACATTAATTTTAGTACTTGCATAACCAAGCACTAAATTAATGTGCGGTAACTGGCGCGACTGTGCAGTCGCACCAGAGCACGGGTTTTTACAGACACTAACTATGCAGTAGCTTAATACTACAGCACAATAGCGTATTAGCATGGGTTTTGCCCAGCACGCTACTGCGCAGTGTTATTAGGCTACTGTGCAGTTAATATCTCATATAGATGCACCCACTAACAGTGTGAAGAGCTAAGATACCATCTCTGTGATATGAATATTGCCCTATAAACTCTTTCTTGTACAAGAGGAATCTGTAGTCATTTTAAAGAAAGAGTCCAGCTGCTGACATAGCTGGGACTCTGGGTAGGGTTTCACAGTCAAATGTGCATTTACAAGATGGTTAGACAGCAATACTGCAAAAAAAACAGGACATGCAGGCACAACTTCCGGTCCCCAAAATGGATTTTAGTTGATATTCTTCATTCAGCAGTCATAGGATATATGTAGGCATGCAAATCTTATCACAGGATCCAATCCTGCAAACACTTATTACATATATACCATTAGTTTTTAGTACTATGGTTAGGCCTACATATTTAGACATTTAGAAAACAAAAATTTACAATAAACAATATTTACATTTACAATAGACAATGGAAATGTTTACAAGCTGTCACTGACTTGTAGCTTCTTGGCAGCTTAACTTTGCTCTGTTGTTGCAATTACTAGAGTGCTACCAGTATCCACGGTAATTAGTATAAAGCCAGGTCACATTTCTCTATGCTGCATTGCAGTCATACAATAGACATTACATGAAATGCAGACTGCACTGACTACTTGTGTCTATATGCACTATGTACTATACCAGATGGGAAGTGTTTGCATTGCCCCAGACCTAATCAAGCCTCACAATGAATAACACATATATGAGTATTCCTTAAGGTCAGTAAGATTATTCTCCCTGGTATGTATTACTCATCTGGATGTAAGGCTAAATAATTTGGCTGTGAACAATTATTATTTAGTAGATAAAATAGAATAGCCATGTCACCATTTCTAGATACTCTAAGGCTGCTTTTATTTCTTGAACATATTCCTATCCATCAGCCTTGTTACGGGAGTTTAACTACATTTGTGTTTACAGTGAGCTGTATTGTAGCAATTCTGCAGAACTTACATATGTTTCGCCTTTTTCACCTTTCACACCTTTCAGACCATTCAATCCTGGGCGGCCCTGAAATGGATGAAAGGATCTTCATATCTGCACAAGAATAAGTTTTTTTTTCTTATGTCATCTGGAAGACTCTAATACATACAGGTCGTCCTGGAAAACCAAGTTCTCCTTTGGGTCCTGAAGGTCCTATTGGTCCCTGAATAGAAAAGAAAGATATTGTGAGTTGCTGAGAAAAAGAGCAAAACTGAATAATTCTTATATGGAACATGCCAGTGACTTATGCTTTGATTATATGGAAAGAATACAGATGGCATATTTACGTGTAAAATAAATACTCGCCAACAGAAAACTTTGGGGGCTCCCCTTTCTCTCTATCTTTTTTCCTTTTTTTCCCCCCTAGAGACTGGGATCAGGCCCATTTCTGACACCATGTGGTGTGAGACACACAGGCACATGGAGCCATATTGTAGGTTATAATCTGGCTTCCTGCAGGGACTTTCTAACCTTTATGACAGTCTCCCTAGTACAGCCTGGTTGAGAATCACTGCTTTACAGAATCAGAAAATTATACCTATACAATATTTTTCTAAATACCTACGAGGCAAAACATCACACACAAATACATTCCATGGAATTGCAAGCTTAATTATGAGAAATCTTAATTTCACTTAAATATGTCATTTGAAAAATCAGTTTAATCACCTGCACTATAATGTTTAATGAATTTTTATGTTATGAGAGAAAGAGATTAGCCACTACCCAGCTGCCCATAATTTGGACAGGCTGTTTTAACTGGCAATGGCATATTGATTGGCACAGGGATTGACAAAACTTTGTTACTGCAGAGCTTGAGAGGCATCTAATGGTAAATAATAAGGAAGACTGATATTTCCACTCTATTGTTCATCATTAATCAGAAAAGTGGAGTTTAAAGCAGACGGGAAAATGATTAACAGTACAGCAGGATAATAAAAGGCTAATAGAAACTAAAGTTATGAAAATGCAGTAGAAATAATAAATGAGATAAATGAGTTATGAGGTAAAAGTGGGACAGTTGGGGGAAAAAAAGAAATAAATGAATGCAGGGAAGAAAACAAATCAGAGAGCTGATCTGCAAAATAGTACCCTTAAAAGTAATAAAGCTGTGGACCTGTTCTGAATGCCTCTAGGAAGCACTAATCTGAAAGGCACCCAGCATATCATGCTATCACTCTTTTTGACTGCACACATTTGAGGTTAGAATTGTTTTTCTTCCCCCATATCTGTTCCTACTTGAAGCATATCAGCCATCACTATCACATTCTGATTATGACTCCACCTTTACACGCTGATTCTCATCCTCATCTGAAATCATTTTTGACACATTTTGTCCCTTACAATTTCCATGTCCAGGAGTTTTACAAGTCTGGGATCAGTCACAGGACAGCAGGTGAATTCTACTACTATTAGAGCACTAATTACAGCTTTTGAGCCCACCTTTTTGATCAGGAACAGCAATTTGCTTCTACACTGTGTTGTCTCTGACAGATTGGTCATGAAACCCTAGACATGCAACACACATCTATTGTTCGGTCTGGAGCACTGAAGCAGGCCTCTCAGCTGGAAGAGCTTTTCCACTTAGAGCTGAAATGGTGCAGAGTATAGGGATAACCGCACATTCATGTCTCTCTGCATTTTTCATTGTCTTTGACTAGGATATTGCCTACATGAGTGAAGCCCATCAATTTCCAGAGGTGTGCCTACCTATTACATAAAGAGCTCTCTGGGACATTTCAAGCCCTATGCTCAGTCCAGGGGCTGTGCCAGTAAAAGAAGGAGGCCTTCCTGTGCTGCTCCTATAGAATAAGGGGATCTATACTTTCCCCTAAATTCTGTTTCTGTAGGCTGAGATTGCAGGAGGCCTTGCTGGCTTCTCAGAAACCTGGAGAACAGGATAGGGTATAAGGCTGGCCGATTATCGTCAAAGACACTAGAGGCAAGCAGTGCAGACAAGGCCACTAATTGTCTTCTTTCCTGCTTCTTCCAAAAGGTTGCTAACTGTATGAATACTTCATATTAATATAGTGTTTTTTATGTGCACATCCCAAAGCTCTTCATAAAGTTAGTTATCATCATTGCTACTTCACAGATAAAAAAACCAAGACAAAGAAGGTCAAGTAACTTGCCAACTTCCCAAGTGAATCTGTGGCAGAGCACAGAAATAACTCCAGGTCTCCTCCTTCACAGTCAGGCTTCCTAACCATGTTGCCTGTTTACTTAAGATGTTTAGGGAGCTTAGGATCTATTTGGGATTGCAGAGACACACACACACACACACGCACACACACAGATGATATTCACACTCAGAAATAATAGAATTTTGATCTACTATTATTGTCTGAACTTAAAAAACCAACTAGAGTTGACTCCTGCTCCAGACTGAGGGATCAACAGGTTGATGGACTGTCAGCCACCTCATCCTTTTGGTTCAAAGTGGCAACTATTTGTCCTTGGCTATTTACAACACTGCTGCTTAGAAATATAATGCATATTCATAAGAAAGCTTATCTTATCTATCTGGCGATTAATGCATGACAATTCAGCTTATGGATGATATATTTTAATTTTTTGCATATGCACACACAGAAAAGAGATGCACTGAAGAATAAATAACTAGGAAAAAATATGAGCAATACTCAAGCACATTCAAGTTGAGAGCCATACGTCTAACGCTGCCATCTCTGTTGCTACTGTGCCCAGACTGAGAAATTAGAATTAAATTAAAGTGAACTTCAAAATGTATAGCATGTAAAAGTATTGCTCTCAATGATAACAGTGACTTCAAGAGGCTCACAAGCCCACTGATAATGACATCCGAGTCTGCAACAGCATAAGGAGCAGTGGGCAATCGGGCCATCAGCTCCAGGTGCCCAGTTAGAGGGGGCATGCGAATGGCAACTACTGCCACCAGCCCATCCATCTCAGCCACTGCAGCTGGCCTGATCCCTGCTGCCACTCCTGTCACAGGTGTTGCCTAGTGTGCAGACTAGGAATCTGTGAATCTGGTATTTAATAAAAAACTTCCAACAGATCAAGAGAGTGTTTTTAGGGTGAGAACAAGCACTTAACCACTGGATTGTTCAAACATTACAACATGGAAGCTAGTTTTAAGGACCCTTTAGGCATCTTGAATTTAAAAGCATTAAAAAAAGTATTAAAATTAAATGCATTTATTGATTAGATTTACATGATGTCCTTACCAACAAAGGTTTGGGGTGACTTATAGTAAGAGAACAAAATAAAGTATTAAAATAAATTATGAAACTAACATGAAAAATATAAAGGAAACACAATGTGAACAATTTACAGGTTTTTAAAAGTGATTCCTTTAGACCCTTTTTGGTTTAAATTTTCTACAATAATTCCCCACCAAATTCCATTACTGATTTAAAATATAGTTCGGATTAAATTTAATCCAAGTGTGAGGTACAAATATCATGATATGCCTGTTCTTAACTAGGTACCACATCTTTAAAAACCTTCCTTAACAAGGGTTCATTATTACAATAACTAACATTCTATCTAGTTTTATCTAACAACATTTAAATTTACACTAATCCAAGGCTCCAGGGATATAAAGGACTCTCCTTTCTCTCCCGTGCAGGCTATCTTTCATGCCAGATCCTGCATAGAAGCAGGGGGAGTAGCAGCAGCTACCAGGTTTTTAATTCCCTTCCTGGACAGGACGGTGGGGAGCAGATTGAACTGACAAATGTGACACCATTTAATCTGTTAGGTTTTATTTTGTAATTTGTTTCCTTTTTATCTTCAGTATAAATTTGTTTAAGTTATTCCTGCTGTCATGGCAGGGTGCTTCCATGATCAAATGCTTATCCATTTATCCCACACACTTTCATGGCCTTGAGATGTTATTGCAATCAATGTTATTTGCACTTGGATGGTAAAGCAATGACCTGGGAAGAAGGGAGAAACTGAAAGATTCTAGGCACTGGCAGGCTTGACCAAATCCTAAGGAAGGATCCTGAGTTGGAGTACTACATCCAGTTCTGGGCGCTGCGCTTCAGGAGGGATGTGGACAGCATGGAGAGGGTCCAGAGGAGGGCCACCTGCATGATCACAGGGCAGTGGGGCAGGCCCTACGAGGAGAGGCTACGGGACCCGAACCTGTTCAGCCTCCAAAAGAGAAGGCTGAGGGGGGATCTAGTGGCCTGTTACAAACTAGTCAGAGGGGGCCAGCAGGCATTGGGGGAGTCCCTGTTCCCCCGAGCACTAACAGGAGTGACCAGAAATAATGGTCACAAGCTGGCAGAGGGCAAATTCAGACTAGACATCAGGAGGCGCTACTTCACAGTCAGGGCGGCTAGGATCTGGAACCAACTTCCAAGAGAAGTGGTGCTGGCTCCTACCCTGGGGGTCTTTAAGAGGAGGCTGCATGAACACCTCGCCGGGATCGTCTGACCCCAGTACTCTTTCCTGCCATGGCAGGGGGTCAGACTTGATGATCTGCTCAGGTCGCTTCCGACCCTACCAACTATGAAACTATGAAAATGTACCAAATTCTCTTGCAATGCAATTGTTTCAACAAGTGTGGCTGAGGCATCCACATTGTGTAATGTTGCATACATGGAACTCCATGGACATTCTCTGATGGTATAATAGGAACCTTAATGATCGTAGTGCAAGATAGGGAGAACAGATCAGAAAAGGAGTGGGCCTTGAGGGAACACTCCTGGTTAACAGAGAAGACAAACTTATCCCACAATAACACATGCTAGAAGAAATGCAACTGAAGTTTAGGGTGTAAATTCGGGTCTTCTTCTCTAGATCATAGAACCATAGGAAAGTATGGTTGAAAGTGATCTCATTAGGTTATCTAATCCAGCTTCCTGCTTGGGACAGGATCATCCCTGACTAAACCATCCCAGTCAAGTGACTGTCTAACCCACTCTTGAAAATTTCCAGGGATGGAGATTATACAACTTCTCTAGCTAGCCAAAAGTTCTTCCTAATCTTGCACAAAATGAATCAAATGAAGCATCTTGCAACACACCCAGCTAGTTCATCAAACAGATTTCAGTAAAACAGCAAAGTCCCAAAGACCTTAATTACAGTATGTGTTGACCATGGCCTCTGCTAAAATTCTCTTTTTGGCACAGAGGCATGCTGTGTTAACAGCAGAAAGAATGAGAAAGTCATCTCTTAAAGTGGTTTAAATAACTGCATAATATTTCATAATTCATCAACCCAGCAGGTTACTGGGAAACAAAGTAAACCAGAAAGCAAATGGTGTGCTCAAAGGCAGCGCACATGGGACATTCCTCAACTGCATGGCAGCTGCGTGGTGTGCACGGCCATGCAGGCACGCCTAGCAGAGTGGCATGAGTGCACCTAGGTGGCTGCGTACACTGCACAGCTTAGAGGGAACGTTGCTGCACAGAACATAACACTTCACCAGGATGGCAAACAAACCAGGGTTCCCATTCTTGACAGAAAACACATGCAGAATGAGCTTGAGGCAACCAAACCACTGCTTTGGAGGTCTGACATAGCATGGAGTCTCCAACAATTCTTCACTGCACTCTCTCCTCTCAGTTATTGCCCAGTGTTGATCCCAAAGCCTTTGTCATGCCATTAGGAGCAAACTGCCTTTCCTGTCAATCTGAGTGAACCAGCCAGATGACTTGATCTAAGCCACAAATATACTTTATGTAAACTAACTCTATCACAGCAGGATTTTGCTTTGACCCTTCAGGACATTTAATTTAAATGCTGAAACACTTTTTTTTGTTGCAAATGTGGCTACATAAACTTGTGTACTTAGGTTTAAATGCTTTCTGTTCTCAAACATGCAGTGTGCCCATGCAGAGTGGGTATCTGTGCATGCATATTACCAGCCAGGTAGCTAACAAGTAGAGATTTAAATATTCAATGTATTAATATACATTAAGCATTTACATTCATATTTTAGATGCATGTAATTTTACATTATGCCATTACCTGTGCCCACATTTGAAAATTTTCTTTGCTGTACTTTAACTTACTGCACACTACTATACACATAATTTTCAGGACTCAGTTTTTTCCACTGAGACTACTGAAGTTTATGAAAGAATGAGAAAGGCTAGGGACAGACATTCAATAAGCCTGAGCCTGAACTGATTCAATCTTTGCAGGTTAGTCTAACCTGGCCAGGCTGAAACGGTTTGTAACCACACAGGCATTCCCTCTGGACTGACGAAATGCAGGCACATGCCTGCAGTGGCTCGGGATAGAAGCCAGGGGGTGCTAGAGCAGCCCTCCCATCCCTTCTACACTGCTGAGCTGAGGGGGGTGTGGCCAGGCACCTCTGTATGCTCTGATTAGGGAGCCTCCCTGCCCTTGCTGCTCCTCTGAGAGCCAGCAGGGAGTTACACAACATTTACTTACACAGCAGGGAGTTACACAATGTTTAATCAGCCCATCAGCAAAACAAAGCCTTTCTCATTAGTTAAGCTGTTTTTAAACAACTTTTTCCAAGGAAGGAAAGTAGGCACATTATCAGCTACCTGTTGATTAGCTCCAAAAAGCCTTAAGTGGACACTGTTCTGCGTGCCTTTGTCCTGTCTGCCTTACACAGACACCTGCTGGCTATGGTCTGTGCTGTGGGAGAGAGGAGGGAGGGATTCCTGCTTGAGCAGCCAGTGGTGAGCAGGGGGATGGGGCAGGGGGAAGCCAGGCAGACCCTACTGTGCCTGCAAGTCTCTGTCAGAGCTCCAGCCAGGGAGCAAAGGTGCGGAGCCAGCTCAGCTGTGGAGCTGAGAGCCCCATCCAGGGCTGCAAAGCATCTGCGATGCTGGGGGACTCTGGTTTAAGTTAAACCAGAAAGGGGTCTGGGACAGACATTGCATAAACTGGTTTGACCCAAATCAGTTAAGTCTGATACTACATTCAACCAGTTTATGTGTAATATCTGTCCCTAACCAAACTGCTTGTTAACTCTCTGGAAACTAAAATAGAGGGAGCACTTGTGTCATGTCCAAATTTGGGCTTAGAAAATTAAGAGCTTCCTAAAATGCAAAGGGCCAGACCTGTCCTTCAGGTGAACCCACTGAAAATGGTGGACTTCCATTACTAAGGATGAATTTGACCCAAAGAATGTTCGTGATCAGAAAGATCATTATCATTATATAACCAGGGATATTTATTTTATTCCTGCCCTTTCCAACTGAGAACAAAATAGCTGATGAGTTCTAAAGTAAATGGATTATAAATTACTAACCTGTACCTCTCACTGAAACTGACTGTAGCAAAACTGTTCCTGCTGACACTCCATTGAAGTTGGTCAAGTCTTTTTATTTTTTCTGTTCTTAAATATCAAGCTTTAGATGTACCATTCATTATACAGTAAAGATTTTAAACCTGGAAATTTAAAGCTAAGTATCTAAATCTGTAAATGGGTACTTCAGTAGACAGCCTTATCATCATATCCAATGCCACTTTTTCTGAAGTTAAGTAAACTGTAGGAACTTGGCACCTATAAAAATCAAGCCAGACTTATGTAGATTCTGAATATGGATTTAGCTTCTAGCTTTGGGTACAAGTTTTGAAATCCTATTTGTAACTAATGGACATACATGCAGGATCAGAAGTTGAATTCTGAACCAACTAGAGTAGTTCACAGTACTATACACAAAGAGGTGGTTAGCTATTTTAGTTTGAAGTCAGGCAGAAGGTTTGGCAAGGTGGCACCTTAGGGACTAACTGGCTCAGAAAGGGGCATTAGGGGCACAGATAGAAGGGACAATTTTAGTCCAATCTGGCCACAGAAAATGGTCTATAGCCATGACCAAACACATGTGCAAAGCTAAAGACAGCTTAAAAAATGGTTGCTGGGCCAGGTTGGGAGATCCTTATAACTTGTCACTGTTTTCAGAATGGATGACGAGAAAGGGAGTGGAGGGAGCTCAGTCTGGGGTTTTCTCACCCACCCCATCCTTCAGCACTGGCTGAGGAACCCCAAGAATGAGCTCTCTCCACTGCCTTTCTGCCTCCCGTTCTGAAAACAGTGAGCAATGATTGGAAAAGGACAAACATAGTGCCCATATTTAGGGAAGGTAAAAAGGAGGATCCAGGGAACTACAGACCAGTCAGCCTCAAGACCCTGGAAAAATCATGGAACAGATCCGCAAGAAATCCATTTCTAAGCACTTGGAGAAGAAAAAGGTGATTAGGTAGTCAGCATAGATTCAACAGGGGCAAGCCTTGCCTGACCAACCTAATGGCCTTCTATGGTGAGATGACTGGCTCTGTGGATGTGGGGAGACTAGTGGATGTGGTGTACCTTGATTTTAGCAAGGCTTTTGATATGGCCTCCCCCAACATTCTCCCAGGCAAGCTAAGGAAGGATGGGCTGGATGAATGGACTGTAAGATTAATAGAAAACTGGCTTGAGCATCAGGCTCAGAGAGTAGTAATCAATCACTTGATGTCTAGTTGGCAGTTGGTATCACGTGGAGTGCCCCAGGGGTCAGTCCTGAGGTCAGCTTTGTTCAATGTCTTCATCAACGAGGAAGGTGGCATAGAGTGCACCCTCAGCAACTTGGTAGATGACACCGAACGGGGGGGAGTAATAGATAGGCTGGAGGGTAGGGACAAGATTCAGAGTTACCTAGACAAATTGGAGGATTGGGCCAAAAGGAATCTCATGAAGTTCAGCAAGGACAAGCGCAAAGTCCTGCACTTGGGACGGAACAATCCCATGCACCAATACAGGCTAGGGGCTGACTGGCTGGGCATCAACTCTTTAGAAAGGGACCTGGGGATTACAGTGGACAATAAGATGAATATGACCCAGCAGCATGCCCTTATCTAGGCGGCTAATGGCATACTGGACTGTATTGGTAGGTGTTGCCTATAGTTCAAGGGAAGTGATTATTCCTCTCTATTCAGTACTGGTGAGGCCACATCTGAAGTACTGTGTTCAGTTTTGGGCCCCCCACTAGAGAAAGGATATGGACAAATTAGAGAGAGTCCAGCAGAGGGCAACAAAAATGGTAAAGGGGCTGGGAGACATGATTTATGAGGAAAGATTGAGGGAATTGGGCTTATTTAGTCTGGAGAAGAGGAGACTGAGAGTGGACTTAATAGCAGCCTTCGACTACCTGAAGGGAGGTTTGAAAGAGCTAGACCGTTCTCAGTAGTGGCAGATGACAGAACAAGGAGCAACAATTTCAAGCTGCGGCAAGGGAAATTTAGGTTAGATATTAGGAAGAATTTTCTCGCTAGGAGGGTAGTAAAACACTGGAAAAGGTTACCCAGAGAGGTGATGGAAGCTCCATCCTCAGAGGTTTTCAACACCCAGCTAGACAAAGCTTTGGCTGGGATGATCAAGTTGGGGATGGTCCTGATTTGAGCAGGGGGCTGACCTATATGACTTCCTGAGGTCCTTCCCAACCCTAACTTTCTATGATTCTGTTGCTATGGGAACCTGGCTGCAGGCTCCCAGCCCGCAGCTAGATTCCCCTCCCCCTGGAATCAACAGTGAACTTCTGTTTGGTCTGGGGTAACGTTGTAACTCAGAACACTTTGCAGAAAGTGTTCTGAGTTACAACTGGGAGCTGCACTTCTGTCTGCACCTTCAGTTTCATAAGCAAAAACTTACTTCATCAGATGCCAACAAAGTAGGCTATTGCCTATGAAAGCTCATGCCTCTTAACTGGTTAGGCTCCAAAGTACCACCCTGCCCTGCCTTCTGCATGCACAAAGACTAAGTCTATAGATGTTTCAAATTACATTGCTGAATGTGGGTATGAACATTATTTTCCATCTTTACTTAATGGCACTGAAAAATTAAACCTAACTGAATTTAAGTTTGGGCAATCAGTATCAAATCAAAAGAATGTACTGAAAATGTGAGGGACTTTACCATTGGTCCTGCTGGTCCAAATACTCCAGGTTCACCCTTTGAAAAAGACAGAGAGAAAGTTAGAGGTGAAGAAAAACTGTTTGGCTGGCCCAGCTAATATGCACACCAACGAAACAATACAATATTATCCTACCTTCTGCCCTTTTCTTCTCATCGATTTTGTTAGAGATCCATCAGCAGCAATGTTAAATCCTGGTTCCCCCTTTTCACCCTATAATTCACAAAATAATTGTATGACTTTTACAAAGCCATTTTCAATAAAGCCGTACTTGCATAGTTCATTCAACTGGGAGGGTCAGTGCAGCAATACTTAAAAGTTTGAAATGTGAGAGGTTGGTTGGAGAGTGTCACCCATGAAAAAGGAAACCATGTGACAGTTGAAATTTAATGAGAGGATTGTGTTTTTTTTCCCTTTTTTAAAACATGATAAGCCTATTCCTGTAAAGCAGACTCATCCATCCCTCCGGTCTAGTGGGACTCTAAAGGGTGTATCCAGGCATGGCAGTGAGGCAAGCAGCAGCTGGGAAGTTAAAACAGGCACCACTTGCCCCCTGCTGCCAACATGCTTCCCCAACAGGGCCCTGAATTTCAGTGAGTGGTTTCAGCCCCAGGTGAGGTGGACAGATGGTGGGGCTGGGCTAGGCCAGGCCCTGGGGGAAGGGCCCTTTCCACGCATCTGCAGCTCAGGCTTGGGCTGTGGGAACTGTGAAATTGTCTGGGATGGCCCAGCCCACACCCACAGGCCAGCCCCAGCCCTGGGCAAGGCAGGGCTGGGCGGGCTGGTCCATAGAGGCAGGGCCCTTCCTAGCCAGCTGCAGCTTGGGCTGGGGCCATGGGAGCTGAGCGCCCAGATTGCTCCCAGCTCCTCATGCCCAGGCTAGGCCAGGCTGTCATGGAGCCGCTGCAGCAGGCAGGGCTCTCCCCCTCCTGCTCCTCCCCTGCCACAGGGCTGACAGGGGGTGGGGTGGGGAAGTGGGCTCTGTGCAGCACTGCCTTGGGCCTCAGGGCTAGAGAGGCACAGCACTGGGCCCTGCTGTGGGGAAAGTTGGGAAAACTGGCTGCAGGAGGCCTTGGTAGCCTTTTTCTTCAGTAGTACAGAGCCCCACAGTGAGCAAACCCCCTGCTCTTTAGATGCTGGTGCTTGTAGCAGAGGATCTGGCCAGGGCTCAGGCAGGAGCTGGAATAGACACTAGAGGGCTTCTGGAGGTCCCTGCCAGCCCCATATCTCTGTGATTCCCCCTCCCTCCTCCTGTTTGCTGCAGGCCCACAGCCACAGTCTGGCCATGCCCGCCACTCTCGCTGCTCGACCCTGCGGTGCCAGCCAGGAGCCA